TTTTTGTGGCATTCATTTTTTTTTCTGAGGTTATATGGGTGGGGGTGTTACATGCCAGACGGGGACGGTCTGCATGTGTTCTTGTCGTACTCCCTCCTGCTCATTGGTTTCTCTCCCCCAGTGATTATGCTGATTGGCCAACTCCAGACACAGGTGGAAAGCAATCAGCAGTTCCGGTGGCAGTCCATAAAGGAAGACTCCTGAGACGTGAAAGGGTGTTCTGCGCTGCGGGTGGTGGCCAGTCTTCCTGTACATGAGCTTTAGCTGGCTGCTAGCAAAACTGGAGTTTTGTAAGGTGGAGGTTGAGGACCTTAGTAAGTTGGGGTACCCTGTACATTCTTGCACGTAGGTATACCTTTGTATAGACACACTAGGTGTAGTGGTTGTTGCCTCCTGTGTAACGTTTTTCTTTAGTCCTTTTTTAGAGAAGGAGGTAAGGTATTTTGTTTGACTTGTGTTGGATGAAGAGCCAGTGGTGAGCTAGGCCTCGTTTTGTTATATTCATTTCATTTGTTTGGCACAACCTGTAGGTCCCATCTTCCACCATCTCCCTCCCTCTTGTTGGGAGCCATCTTTTTGTGTAAGAATAAAAACTAGAAAGACACCTTTTACCCTGACTCTGTCGCCTGTCTTTGATTGTTGTTTTACTGTCCTGGAGTCTACAAAAGGGCCGTAACAGTATGTGTTTTTAAATCAATACCCAGGTATGCGCTTAATTCTGTAATGGCCTGGTTGACCAAATGAGAACCATTGTCACTTGATATTTTAGAAGGAATGCCCCATCAAGGAATGATTTCAGAAATTAGGGCCTTGGCTACTGTTGTAGCGGTTTGTTTGCTTGATGGAAAAACCTCCACCCACTTGGAAAACATGTCCACCATCACTTGACAGTGTTTCTTACCTTGTGATGGAGACAACTCCACAAAATCCATCATAATGTGCTCAAACGGGCGGGTTGGTGGTGGGTGTGCAGCCTGGCTGGACACGCCCACGGGCCTGCCTACATTGTGAGTAGAACAGGTGACACATGCAGAACAGAATTTTTGTGCATATGCTGTCAACCCTTTTGTAAACCACGTCTTATTAAGTGCACATAACATTCCCCCTTTTGACACATGGTCTAACCCATGAGTCAACTTAGCATAATGAGCAAAATAGTGTTTAGGTAAACACGGCTTGCCGTCGGGTCCAGTCCAGATACCGTTGGTGTAAACACAGCCAGATGTGGACCAAAGCCGTCTTTCATCAGGGGTAGAGAGTGACTGCATCGCTGTGAGAGAGGAGGGAACTGACTCCTCAGAGCACACTAGAGCACAGGTAGTGGGAAGCAGAGCAGCAGCTTTTGCAGCAGAGTCTGCTCGAGCATCATATATACATCATCCGTATTGGACGTGTGTGTTGCACATTTACAGACAGCAATAGCTGTGGGTAGCAAGATGGATTCCAACAGTTCAGCAATGAGAGTGTGATGTAGGATGAGCTTACCGTCCGATTTAAGGAAGTTCCTGTGTTTCCACAGCACCACAAAATCATGTACTACACCAAACGCAAAGCGAGAGTCAGTGTGAACTGTGACTGTTTTACCCTTAGCCAGTTTACAGGCCTCGGTCAGAGCGATGAGCTCGGCTGCCTGGGCTGAGAGGTGACATGGCAGAGGACCTGAACACAGCACACCAGAGTCAGAAACAACAGCAAAACCAACACGATTTTCACCAGACTGAGGATCGCGGGAGGCGGATCCATCCACATACATTACCATGTCGCTGTTAGTTAGTGGAGCGTCCACTAGGTCAGGGCGAGGAGTGCACTGAGCTTGGAGCTCAGCCAAACAGTTGTGGTCCTCCCCATCCCCAGGAATAGCAAGTAATGATGCAGGGTTAAGGTTAGTACAACGTTTATAGTGACATTCGGCATGTCCAGGAGACACGTGTGGTAACGCAAATAGCGAGCCGCAGAGAGGTGAGATGATTTCTGTTCGAGGAGAATCAAAGAAACCGCGTGCGGAACGAGCAGAGTGAACGGTGCGTAACCCACTATGTCACGTGAGGCAATGAGCGCCTTTTCAGCCGCGGCCACAGCGCGCAAACATTGTGGCAGTCCTGCAGCGACAGGGTCGAGTTTAGCTGAGAAATACGCAACAGTGTACACAGTGAGTTCTGTGAAACCCTGTAGAGGCGGAGCGCAGAACGAGCGGATCGATTGTCTCCTCCCAGTCAGTGAGAGATTCACACTCAGCCACAAATGGTCCCAAATCCCTCCATTGGTCAAGGCGTCCTTTAGACAGTGAGACATGGGGATAGGAGCCGGGAACTTGAAACAGTTCTTTCTGTGTGGGAGACAGAGAAACAGACACAGCAGATTTACAAGTTGACCAGTACAAAGTAGAACAGGCAATTGCATCATTGAGGGCCTCAAAAAATGTCTCTTCAAAAGAGCCGTCTGGACCCTCTGAGACACATGTTGTGCAATGCAGGTGTTCAGGGTTCATGCGTCTGCATGAGGAGAAACCCGTGCTTCACCAGCCTGGCTTAGCCTCCGAGCATCATCGATCGGGATCCACCACTGATACACAAAAAGAGGATTAGAGGGAGCCTCTTGCAACATTTGGAGTCCACTTTAAGGCCGTCTGGAGATGACGTCAAACAAATACCATATGTACACATCAAGTCTCTGCCCATCAGATTTATGGGACAGAGGGAAGAGGGTAAAAAGTTTTACTTTTATGTCAGGGTTTAGGTCAGTCTCGTCAGAGTGTACACTCGTCATAGGTGCAGTAAATTTTTCTGTCACAGTCAAACCTGAAGCCCCTTGAGAATATACATACCGCCCACTCATTTTTTGATTTGGAAAAGGTTTTTCTTGAATTACTGAATGAGTAGCTCCGGAGTCTACTAAAAACGTCAATTCTTTCCCTTCCACCATTACTCTTGTAGTTGGCATATCTTTGTATGCATCTGATGAAAACATAGCATACGTGAGTGGCGGTGGTGTGGATGTATTCTGTTGCTCTAAGTGAGAAATGATGCTGAGCAAAACAGCATGTTGTTCTGTAGTGTGCGTGCGAGGAAGCAGGTCTTCATTGCAGCATTGTGTGTGCATGTGTATGTGGGTGTGCGTGCGAGGAAGCAGGTCTTTGTTGCAGCATTGTGTTTGTGTGTGGTGTGTTTCACTTCCCTGTTTTGGAGAGGCAGCAGTAGTCATCCCTTCACACGTGCAATCTCCATCCCACACACACTGTCAGTCTGAAGTGCCGAATTGTTGACCCCCTCTGTCAGTCCCGGAGTGGCGCTGTCGCCCGTGTGGCTGACGTACCTGGTTTGAACGGTAGGGGCAGTCTTTGTAC